ATTCTCTCCTGGAGATCGTCTTCGTGAGCCTCTCATGATTTCAGGATAGTTGAAACCCTCCTGAACATTCAGAAAGAGTGAATATGAAATTCTAATCACGAAAGGTGTTCTGTGAAGCACGTCAATTCTCTCCTGGGGAGCGTCTTCGTGAGCCTCTTATGGTTTCAGGATAGTTCAAATCCTATGATGTTCCGATTGAATGCTCACCGATGATCTGAGCCATGGGGCAAGTTTGTTTTCCTAAGAATCTTTTTGAACATTTCGAGAGCACATGTTTGAACATTTAAAGTGCATATGAACATATATATTTACGAAAGGTCGCCTCCGAGGGGATAAATCACCATGTCGAACATTGCATTTTTGTTCCTGCCTCTCGCGTTCTCTTCTCTTCCCGCTGTCCTACCTTTCGTGTCTCCCTCCTCGCAAGTGGTTCTCAGAGAGAGGGTAAAAAGAAGCCTCTCGCTATATACAATCACTCTATGTTTGGACCCTTTGATAAGCTGTTTAGTTATGTCTTTCTGGCAATTTGCAAGCATTGTTGGATCTATTTTTCGACCCGCTTGAAATTGTACATTTCGAAGGGGGTCGAAAATAGAGTGATCATGCACAACAAACATCAATAAACTATACAATATGCATGACCGCGACAAGACTTAGAGATGAACGCAGCAAGAAGGGATGAACAAAATATGAGAAGTCTCTTTTGTTTTTTGTTTTTGGGGGACCCTGTTTTTAACTGTTTTGTTTTGTCATCTCAAAATTTGTGTGCAGTGTTGGGTCTGTTTGTCGGGCCCGTTGACATTGTACATTTTTGAGGGTGTCCACATTAGATCAATGCTCAGGCATTTTGTGCAATAAACTATGCAATTGCAACAAGCTGATGCATATGAAAGAAATATTAAGACACGGACTGTTGAGAGGAGTCCTTTGTTTGTCGTTCATGGATTTGTTGATGCAAATGATCAATGCGAAATACGGTCAGACACACATGATAAGCGAAAACCATGTGTTTTTCTATAGTTTCTCCCACTCCCACTCCTCTTCCAGACACACCTCTTGATGCAGGATACGCATTTTCGTTCCCAAAGGAATGCCCTAGCTAAATAAGTAAATAAATATATATTATATTATATATATATAGTGAGTGAAATGCGCTAAGCTACTGACAGTATAACGCCTCAGCACCTTCGGTGCGGACGGACTTTGTAACAGCAGCATCGCTATGCGCAATCTTCAACATGCTCCTAATTCTATCCATCATGGGTTTGCGTCAAGTACCATCAGCCTTGATGGGGCTGTTCATTGGCTTCCGGCTCTGATGATTTGCTGCCAAATTGTTTTGTGTAAACTGTAAACCTTCCAGTGCTCAGATGCCACTTAATTTGCTATTGGACACCTTTTCTAGTCAAGTGTTCAAGCAGATTTTGGTTCCATAGGCATGCTTCTCCAGTGAGTGACAATCTCGTCGAATCAGGTCTATAAAATCATCGACGAATCAAATGGATTTTACATTAACAAGGCGGTGTTGGAGTAGGGCTGGGCTTCCTGGTTGGTATTGGCATGGTCCTTGAACCGAGTGATGCCGCGATGATTTGTAGAAGTTCCGGCATCATGTTGCTATCAGGTAAGGCATCATGCACTGTAATTGAAGTATCAACAATGAGTGCAGGATTTGGCATTGTCGTTTGGGGGTCAGTGCCTGTTGCCGAAAAGACGCTTTGCGCAGGTCGCATCCGCTGTTCGCTCGCAGACCACGATTTGCTTCACCTTTGGCAGGGATGCAACAGTGCAGCGCCAGCCGCTAGTATGCAAGCGAGTTGATCGGTAGGATGCGTGGTGCTGTTGAGGCCACTTTCACAGCCCGGGACAAACATGCCACTAGACCAGACAAATGGTCTCATAGCGTTTCCCGGAGCCACACCAGAACACATGGCGTCCCATTGAAACTCGGAGAACAAGTCACACGTTAATGTGTTTTTGCAATTTATATATTATATAGGTCAAGTGATGAGCTATGCCTTTAATTGACGACCTGTCACTAAGGTGGACAGGTAGCATCACCGACACTGTGAAGCCTACAGATCTTGAAGAGGCTGAACAGATCAGACGAGCAAATTGGGTATCGAATCGATATGTATCTGTATCGATACACGTCGCCAGGTCAAAGTTCACTTTACAAGGTCATGTTGCTGTCATTATGAATCGTTTGCCATGTTCTTCTAAAAAGCAGAAAGCACGAATTGCAGGTTTGCTTTGAAGCCCATTGCCTTGACATTGCAGCAGATTTGCGGGGTTTTATGCGAGAAGCCAAACAGCGAAGAATGAATGGCCTTGCTGGTCACCCAGAGCCTTTGCAATATCCAGTGGGGAAGGGGGTGCGACATAGACATAATGACATAGTCCAGTCCCTGGCCGGGCATTCTGTAGCTGTCGGTGCTGTGGGCATGGTGGGAAGGAGGAGTTGCTGATGCGTGATGTGATGTTTGCCAATACCCAATGCAAGGCATACACAGAGGTTTGGTTTGGGTGTATCAAGTTCCAGTGAGTAGGCAACCATTGGTAAGTTCTCGGAGTCTGTAGTATCAACCACCACCAGCACACTCAACGGCAGCTAACCACCAACCACCAACGTCCACACATCACTCCCGCCAAACCAACATGTCGCACCCACCCACCTGACAAAACGGTATGTGCGAGGGATGTCGGTTTTTGATGAGCATGGCAAGGGAAGAGCAGCCAGCGATTCGCACCCTCTGACACTTCAGAAAGTTGTTTTGCAAAAGGCATTTGGTAGTTTAGCTCTTTTGCAAAGGAAGGTCCAATATTGCATAGCGGCTGGGAATGCAGTTTTTGTCAGACCCAACCACAAACAGGAGAAAGATCAACACATCAACACAAGTGCTCGCTTCTTTCTTTGCCACACTCTTTGGTACTTTGGCCGCAGCTGACGCCAAAAGCGGCCCACCAACTTCAAGAGCTAGAAGTCGAAGTAGGGAAGCACAACTTCCTCTGCTTGGATGGCGGATTGCAGACAACGCCCAACCATGCCTCATTTTGCTGCATCCTTAACATTGAAGATGAGCCCCACGCCGCACCAACCCGCCGCACCAACCGGTGTCAGGGATGCGGCTTGCCTTTCAAATCCTCGCCAGGGTCAAAAATCAAAAGCTCCAAAGTGGCAAGGCGCCTGCTTCAGCAACATCAGGGCTTCTTTGCTGCATTTGCGCGGCAGCTTGATCCAGCAATGCTCACACTTGATGCAGCCTGTCCAGAGCTTCCACAGATGCCCTTCCACTGCATCAGCAGTGGTGTCAGCCATCTCCTGCAGAGCTTCCTTCAAGGAGACTTCAGGTGTGCCTTTGCCTTCTTGTTGATGTCTTCATGAGTTGAGCAGGGATCCTCCGCTGCAGAGCTTGCACTTGACCCCATTCTGGTCGTTCCTCATGATTCATGCTCACCCACCTGCTCACCCGCCTGCGCCGTTGCCCGGGAAATGTCCACCCTGCCTTTGGTCTTACCCTGTTCTCCATCCACACGCTTTGCTGCCACTGGGCCATCTGGCTGGTTCATGACGTGGGTCGTGTCTTCAAGAAGAAGCTGCACCCTTGCTAGGGCGAGCTTTAGATTATTGATTATTTTGGCATTTTCCTCATCTGCCGCAGCCAACTCATCAATGGCTTCTAGAGGACATTCTTCTTGTGCCCTTGCCTTTGCCACAGCACTGGCCACCTGGTGCTGCCAAGCTTTGCTAGGGCCCCCTTTGATCTTGAGGCTTTTTACTGGCACATGCATGGCAGACCTTCAGACGTCGCCATTCTTCCAGACCCAGATTGTGCCATATATTCGCGACTTGTTCGGCACGGCCCTCCTTCCCAAGCATTTGCCAAGCTTCCTTGTGTGGGATGTTGACATATGGCTCTCATGAAGGCCTTCAAAGCTATCCAACAGCCTGTGACCCATGCTCGGACTTCAGCCTGATGCCGCGGGGCAACACAAGTGCAAGTGCCGTTGACAAGCCATGACAAGCCACTGCTCTTTGGACCACTGCCCAACCTGCACTGCCACCACAAGGCATTTTGCACCTCCAAATGAGGTGGACCAACGGTCAGAGGCTCCGAACACATTTGGGCAGACTAGCTCCTTCCCCCTGACCATGGGTACGCAGTGACCCTTGTGTCCATGCTTTGAGGGCCATAGCCTCCTGCTTGTTGCCCTTCTTGAGCTCCCAGTGGTAGTGAGACCAGTTCGGCGAAAGTGCTCAAAACTCCTCGCAGAAAGTCAGCCTCCTGATCATGTTTGCTCATTGAAGCTTCAGCTCCTTGTGAACAGCCTTCCCAAGGCCAGGGATGTTCAGGGTGAAGGTCAACAAGAAGGAGCCGTCCCATGGGCCTGGTCACTGACAGTCCCGCGCATGTCATGTCTTGGAAGTATGCTTGCAAGGCTGCCATAGGTCCCAAGATCTTTCAAGTCATCAATCATGCTGATCATAAAGCACCAAGCTGGATCAGTGTGACGAAGACTTTGCGGTGCAATGCCCTGAGCCTCATTCCCGTAGCTCATTGCACTGTTTCCAGAGTCTCACCTTGACTGGTTTGCTGCCCGGCTTCAGTTTCATCCGTACCAAATCGTTTTTTGCCCTTGAGGATGCGCTTTTGGACTGTCCCAATCCTTCTCCTCCGGGCCCCACTCACTCAAGTCAAGGCCTAGATCTTTCATCAGATCTTGTACATGAGGATGGTCATCTGTCCTCCTTTGCTAAAGGCACCTTCTGACTTGAGCTGACGAGGCCAAGTAACCTGCCTTGTCAACCGGGACATCCAGGCCGGCCGTGTCCAGCAGCCTCTCAATGACCGTGTGGCCCTGAATAGCCTCCGCTGCTACCTGGTTGGCATCCTCTCGAATGAAGTCAAGACTGATATCATCAATCCATACATCCATGTTGACAAGAAGGAAGCCCTGACGAAACTCCAAGCACAGGTGCCAAGACCAATTTGGCAATCAAAGGGGCCGCCAAGATCCCCTTCTGGCAGAGCACAGGAGGGGAAACCACTTGCTCACCCTGAAGAATGCGTGCACCGCAGTAGCATTCCATCATGCTCATGACGATGGCAGGGAACTCATACTCTTTCCTATTGGTCAAACAGAGCTTCCCGGCTGACAGAAAATTTGCAGGTCCAACAAGAGGGACAGCTTCGCAGTGGCACGTCCAGCTTCAGATCTCAGTAACCTCATGAAGGGCACCTGGATGACATGGGTGCCCGGACACTGCCTTCCCGCGGAAGCATCTCCTGGACTTTGAGCTGCCAGCTGCTGATTCGTGGGCTTCTTTGGAAGGAGCACGACCAGAGTGGTGCTGACTTGGTCTGGTAGCCTGCCTTCGAGCTCCCAATTGCACATGAGCTGGCACAGCTGCAGCGCTGCTTCATGCAGGAGGTTCTTGATCATGGCGTAGGCCATCAGGCTCCCCGGCTTTTTGTGGCAGCTTTTTGAACAGCTTCCATGCTTTCTCAGGATCCAGATCGGGCCCTTCCCACTTTGCATGCTACTGCCTTTCCCTTTGGCCTGAACTGGGACATCACGGAAGGGACGTTTAAAACCAACATCAGTGCATCCGCATTGCTTTAACCTCCTCCAAAAGATCTTGAATCCAAGATGCCTGCTAGTTTGCTGGCAAAACGCTGCGCTGTTGTTCATGCCATCGATAGTGGAGGTCAGTCCACTTTAACCGAAGCAATCTGCTTGCTTTTGGCCGTGCTGTAGTGCTCCTGCTCCCCCAATGTGCTGGAGCAAGCTACCAAGCTTGAGATCTCGGGAGCGGCTTTGCATCTCTTCCGACAGCCAGCTGATCCAAGCCCTGCAAGGAGTACAATTCTGCCTGTTGGCAAAAGCTGCACGCTCCATCTCCTTTGCTCCAATGGGTCGATCGAGCCAGTAGGGTTGAGTGGCAGGTCCAAGCCTAGGCAAAAGTGTCGATCTGCGGAAGCAGGAGTGAGGGGCCTCCTTAGAAATCTCCAGCTTGAGCACTCCATGCCTCTTCCAGGGCACCTGCCAATCCACTGGGAGCTGTGCAAATGGTGCAAGATTTTCTTTTGTCTTGAGGTACTGGTAGATTCTGAAAGCCGCAACTGACCAGTTGGCCCTCTTGTAGGAAGCAATGCCCCATCCAGTCGAAGCTATGCAGTTGATAAGATGCATCCCCTTCTCAAGCAGAAAAGCTGGCTGGAGGCCATTGCTATTAGGTTGGAGGCCATCGCTCTTAGGTTGGAGGCCATCGCTAGTCTAATTTACAATCAAAAACGTCAACTCTCCTTTTAGCAGGTCGGAGGCGGAGGTCTCAAGGCTGGGAAGTGCATTAGCCTGTCACCTGGCCAGATGCAGTTGCTGCAAAGCTGTGTAAAAGGTTCCTCCTTTCAAATGGGTCTCCACAAAACAGCAGGCCTTTTGACGGTGTTGTTGAAGACAAGTGTGCACTTCCTTATTCTAGCTGGTGACGTTGGCACACAGAATCACAACCCCATCATTGAGAGACTGTCCCTTTTTTTGGCAACTTGACTGAAGTGCCCAATGGGTCCCTGCCAGAAAGTGCTGCTCTAATGTGGAGACTGCACCTCCGAATGTGGAAAGCCATATGTTCCGTGCCTTCAGCCAGGGGTTGCCCAAGTTCTTCAAATGCCCAGGCACTTAACAAAGCTTCTACTCCAATCATCCTTTTTCAAATTCATGTCCTATTGTCACGAAGATGGGCACAGCCTGATTGCTCCAAATGCGGTTGGCAAAGAGGCTCTCCCAAGTGCAGTGGAGCCCATCCGAGACATGGGAGACCTTTCAGCCAAATCCCACACCTAAACCTTGCTGAGGATTTCAGAGGCATCCTGTTGAGCCGTTGGATCCTCCATTTGATGAATCAGCGGCTCAAATTCCGAGGCCAAGAACGTGTCCTGCATTTCAGCTTGCTGCAGAAGCTGCAAGCAAAGCCTCGTGCTTTTGCCCCAGAAGCGCTCAGGGTTTGCGTGATCGCCGCCTCCCATCCAACACCATCTGAAGATGCAGTTGGCAAAACAGCGATTCTCCGGATTGTGAAATTTCAGTGTTAGATTGCTCGACCTGGGAGGGTACCATCGTTGGCGTCTGGCTTGGTAGCTGAACTCCCAAGTCAACTTGATGCATGACAATCTTCATCCTTTGAACCTGCTGTAGCATTTGCAGAGCCCACAGCTTGTTTCTGGGCCCTGGAAGCCGGAAGCCCCAGTTTTCCTAACAGGAAACTGTAGCTCCGTTGACCAGTTCAGCAAGATGCTGCACAAGAGGCAGCATCCTGGCCTGCAGCTGTGAAGGGCCCCAACTTCCATGTGGGTTCAGATCCTCTTCATTGTCCGCAGGCTGAGTTGTCTTCGCACCACCCGGCCCAACGTACTCTGAACTCACCAGGGCAGTGCCTGGGCCTGCCCGGGCCTGAAAGTGATCAGGGTTGGCATAGTCCTCATTTGTTTCATCCTCCTTCTCCAGGGGGATTGTCTCGGTTCCATTGGATTCCATTGTCTTGCCTGCCTAGACCGGCAAAAAAAGGTCTAGGTGAAATTATGTCTTGAGTCGGGCAGAGTTTGCTTCACGCTCTTGGACTTGATTGAGAAGGCGGATAGGAAAGTGGATTGCATAATTTTGAGGGGTGTTTGCAATGTGTCAGTTGCCTGTTTCTCTTGGCCAGTGCCAGTACGGTACCCCCTGTTGTCACAGTTTTCCTCGGATTTGTTTTGTTGCCTGGTTGTTTTTGGCCTTGTCGGTTACTCTCCTGCTTTTCCTAAATCAGTTGGGTTGCAACTTGCTTTGGCTACATCAGGGCAACCTTAGGAAAAGGCGAAAGATTGGTGCGCCATGAAGTGAACGCTGTGATGGCTACATGGGCTTTCCTAGTCTTTCATGCCACATAGATTCTACACACCTCTCTATCATATGCAGGCCAGTGGCTAAGGCCTTGCCGCCATATAGCCACTCGCCATAGGCCCAGGAGAAGCGACTCAAGATGCAAAAGTTGCATTTCAAGAGATGTCAAAATTATAATTGGAATATGATCGGGATCTGGGAACGGCGACTCGAAGTGCTGCTCCCAAAAAGTGCACGGCTGTGACCCAAAGCACCACTGCAAGTTCAAAGATCCTCCACCATTTGCCAGGTTCCAGTGATCACTGGCACTGCAAAAAGCATCGTCATCACAACTGTCCAAGAGGCACATGCCACACACCAGCGCACTCCCAAGTGGTCAGACTTGAAAACGCCTGCTGTGCAAAGCAGCGAAGCGCAAAGGACCCCATATCCACTCTAGGCTTATAGATTTGCTATGATCTGCTTGTTTTCCCGACTGTTTTCAGGCTCATCCCCCTGTTACCTTGCTTCGGGGCGTCACCAGAGGTCTTGCGCTGCTTCAGCAAGGTTTCTGCCAAATGGCGCTCCAGCTCCTTTTGCTGGTCTGAGGTGAAGATGATGCCTGCCTGTCCCATGGCCTTCAAGACATGTTCGGCTATATTAAAAGGCTCTATCTCCTCATCCTGAGCACCCTTGAACATGCTAGTCCAGCTCCTCTGCACGGGGGGGGCTTCTTGCCTGCAGGTCCTGGAGGCGGCTCCACAGTATGCGCCCTTCCCTTTCCCTCGCGGCTCTGAGTATTGTTCACATGGTGTAGCCTTGCCATGGATCATTTGTTGGCCACGGTGTGCCACACTTGTCACATCCCCACCGCACCAGGGACACTTTGTCCTCCAGCTCCATGACGAGTGGCATCCATGGCACACAATGTATATTAATATAATTGCCTTCTTCCGCTAGTGACCAGTGACCTTCTTGAAGGAGCCCATGCCATCCCAGGATGTGGATGCCCTTGCTGTCCTCGTATGTTTCACATTCTTTCACCTGTTCTTTCACCTCAATGTAGCACGGGTGGGGAGCCAGTGCCGTCGAGGTCCGCAAAGTCACAGCCCAAACACGTTTTGAGCTCAAATCTTGAGCCAAGTAGGCAACCTTCTCTCTCTCTCTCTCTCTCTCTCTCGCTCTCCCCCCTTCCAGATACCAAAATCCGTTCGACGTTGAATCTTTATGAAGGAAACTGGCACAGGGAGAACGGCCACTGGAATTGATTATTCTTCTTCCAAATTCCGTTATTGAGCGTTTTTGTGAATACAGACGGGCGGAAGCTCAACTTGGAAAAGGAAGAGGGCGAACAGACGTGGACATTTTTCACATGGGCTCAAAAAGTGTGTTTAGCGGACTCAGGAATTCCTTTTCCAGTGGTCTATTCCCAACAGATTGCAAGTAAGGACACCAGTCAAGACGGGGCAATAAGGGGAAACGGTTTCTTTTCCCTAGCGGCATCCCCCAGCCCTTCTAAGTTACCGGGTGCCTCTCGTGACCAAGGTTCCACGTACAGTGCCCCGCATGGAAGCTTCATTTAAGATGTAGGCTTAGATTAGATTGGAGCAAAAAAGGATCGACACGGGCAGGCGGCTGGTCAGAGATCTTGGGTTGACTTTCCTTGAGGCTTTTGGAGGCATCCGGATTTGCCTATACAATGGCCTGCCAGATGAAGCTGTGGACGAGGTGCGGGCGTTGGCCAGTGAGCCAAGCCAAAGATGTTTGAGATTTTGGGTGAAGAACATCGCCCCAGCACTGAAGACCTTCTTGGAGTCCGCTCACGTTCCGAACAGTTCTCAGGTCCTCCGCCTCCTGCGGGACTTCGCTGTGGCAGAGTCAGGTGGCCTGGAAAAGATCTGCAACTGCAAGGCTGGGAGGGTCAAGTTGTGGCCAGGTACGAAACATTCACAGCAGTCTCAAACACTCTAATATAGATAGCTTTACGGTGGCTTACTACCTCTAGTGTCAGATAGTCGCGATGAAATGTGTTTGTTTTGTACATGCATGGTACAGATACACATGGTCTAATAGTCTATCTACATTTAGACAAGATCCCCATAAAGCAAGCTTCAAAGGTCACAAATGGACATAGGACATGTCTCGAGACTACGGTCCGCCCCATGCGAACAAATGTGCAATAAGTGAACGTCCCTAGGGTCTCACAAATGGCATAGCATTTTGGATGCACCCTTGGGGCAGCACCCTGCCACACGACTACGGCTTGGTGGAATGAAAGATGCCTGGAAAGGCGTCAACATCACTGTCTTTGGACAGCAGTTGCATGACCTCACGAAATGTCAGAATCAGAAGCTGCTCGTCTCCCTGAAATTAGTAGCCAGGGCCGCCAGGGCCACTGGCATGAAATAATGTCCGCTGCAAACTCACAGAAAGGTAATGATTCCGCTTCAGAACGCTTCCGTCTGAGCTGCCACAGGAAGTCGCAAATCATGCGCCAGTTTTCTTCTCCTACCCATGCAGAAGCTTCCACTTGAGGAGGTGGACGTGTGCTTGGCATTTTTTGGTCCCGATGGACGGACACTCTTTGGCATATTCCAGTGCCAATGGGGAAGCTTCTCCTGGCATTGGGCACTTGAGAGAGTGTGTCAGGAAACTTGCAGGTTGCGCTCACTGTCTCCTTCAACTTGGGAAGGAGAGAATGAAGCGCACCAACCATCGTTGATGCCTGAGTAGCCTTGCTTGATGTTGAACCTCAGAATCGACTGGAGAGATCCGATACGCAAATTCCTTGCGGCTGCATCAACAAGCGAGGCAAGCTGTTTCGTGAGCACATGAGGTAGTATATGTCCAAGGCGGTGTGCCGGAATCCGGTCTACGCGAAATGGCCGCGGGTGAAAGGATAGTCTTTATACTTCCAGTGAGGCTCGACTTTGCCAGTTTCAAACAGCTGCTTAAGCCTGCTTAACAACGGACAAACGGTCGCAAAAAACATGCAAAAACCATGAATATACGACTTGGGGCGAAATCGTGCAAAGATGAGCAGCGTTTTGTGACATATAGGCCCAATGATTGATCCGCCCTTTGTGAATGATGTTGCACTGTTCAAGGTTGCTGTTACCAGAAATATTCTTCAGAAATCACAGATCCATCCTGTCCAAAGTCTCGTGGATATATTTGGATCAACATGCTGAGCTGGCCGGAGGTCAGAAATGGTTTGCTGCGGCAACCATCCTCTTGCCACAAACAGGGCCTGTTCCACATGACTCATCATTAGAAAATTGGGCCAAGTTCGTGCTGCACAGGTTTGCAAATCTGTAGTGTATGCAGTGCTTCACTCTCATTGGTGAAGTGGGGCACGAACTCCTTAGCATTGCCACAAATCTGCAATTGGATGATGCAGCCTACCCTGTTCCAGCCATCCGTTTTTGGTCAAGGTGCATTCAACAAGGATGGTAATCTCGTAGTCTCATACTGTAGTCGGTTGTTTCTTTTGGAAATCGAAGTGGGGAAGCAACATTGAAAGAACATTTCCCTGATTTTTTCTATTGTCTTGGAGTTTGAAACACTTGGCACCAGGATGTGTATGCAAATTTTGAGACGGTTGTGAAATAGTGCTCCAAAAACAATTCTTGAAAAAATCAAGAACGACCCGTGTTTTCATGGACTCATGGACGCCAAGCCGCATAGAGCTAAACCATAACTATATAAACCCACATTGGCCTTTGCTTACACCACAATCATTGAAGTGGTTTCCTCTTGTCACTCCTACAGTACACTTCACTTGTCCCGAGACTTTGGTGCGACAATAGCAGCCGATGGAAATCTGCTAGCAAGCCGACTTCAAGCAGCGTGTGATACGCTTCGTTTAGAACTGCACGCCGGGCCAAAGGTCTCATTTCAGCGCTCACAGCCTGTACCTGTACCTTTGAATTTTGCCCGCATGACCAGAGCGTTGCAAGCCATCAGATGCATGCTACAACCTTGCAAAACCAACCCCTCGTAAGGAGTTTTGCAAACCAACTGCAGTCTTCGATCTAGTTCATTGTAGTTCATTCCAGGGTGGATTGCAAGGTGTTGCTCCACATAGCGGATTTGTCAACATTGATGATCCCATATCTCCGTAACTTTAAAGGCAGCATCAAGGATATGAATAGTGATATGAATATTGAGTTGATTATTGGCCAAGCGCCAAGCGACCATCAATATTATATATACACACGCACAGACCACACAGCCAGGCAATTGCTCCAACAAATGGACCTTGCGCTGCTGCAACTCACTCCACTTCCAAACTGTCACTTCCGTGCAGTCGGCAAAATTTTGTTTACAACTAGGTTGGCAGGTTTGGGCACGTTTCGAAGACATGACACATCAAGCCGAACGCATCCGCATCCATTGCTTGGCCCTAGCACAAGGATCACACGTCATGATGGCTTGGGTCCCGACCTACCCCAACCTCGTGCACCCTTCGAGGGCTTCACACTTGAAAAAACATTCTCAGCCGGAAACCCTTCTCTTCAAACATGAATGGTCCTCAGTCCACCCGGTCCACTCACCGATCTCCAGAGAATGAGTAGAAATTGCATCAACTTCGGTGCAACACTAGCAACGCCTTCTCACTCCAGGAAGACAAGAACCGACTTCTGACCAACTGGGCCTTTGCTCGCCTTAGCCAAAGGCTAATCTCCTGGAGAGGGCGATGGAGAGAAAGAGAGAGACTTCAGACCAACTATAAAAATGGAAGAGAAGACGAGTCCAGCCAAGAAGTCACTGTTGAATACCTTTGACCTTTGGCATTTTTTGTGGCACAAAACAGGGCCAATGTCTTGCCCTAGGACGAAGAAAAGCAGAGGAAGGATATTGTCTCAAGAAGAAAACTGCGCAAAAACGTGCTGCTACTGTACACATGCTTCTCAACACCTCCCCATCAAAGCACATCCATTTAAAAAGACGATCTCACCATACAAATGTGGCCACGTTGAATATTAAAGCCACGCCTTCGCAGCGCCACCTTGAAACATGAATAATCATATTGTTGACCCACACTTGTTGACCCATAAAGGCAGAAGCAGAAATGGTTTAATTGCCCGAATTGGGGTTTATTGGAAGCTGGTCAGAGGTTAGGGTGAATAATACATCAGGGAGATGAGGAGCCTTCATTCTGCCCTATGGCCAGGTAATTACTTGCCTGGACACCTGTTCAAGAAGCATCAAGGCAATCAAGGAGGCCGCTGGGGCGGGTCCGGGCAGAGGGTGGCTGCCAACGCGTCAAGCTTGGTGCAGAATCATATGTGAAGGAGCTAACTTCAGGAATGAGGGTTTACAGACCTATGGACTTTGTTTGAACCGTGATGAACCTTAACCCGATGGGGGGGAAGCTACAACCAGCGACAACCATCGCCTATGTGTTGTGGGTTTGTTGGGGCAACAACATGTAGGTTTAATCATCGAGTGCCCCAGTCCAGAGCAGAAACTCTATGCTGTGTGCTGCAGGCTCAACATGCATTGCAATATGTAATAATTTGCCAGAAAGCATTGGCATTGACATTTTGCGCGCTGTTGTTTCCACAGGGCCACAAGATAATCTGCTTTGAGAAAAACCCGGCCCAAGGGTGAAGCAAACAAGGTAGTTTACATATCAATATCCGCACAAGGGTGCACCACACACCAGGGGTTGACCTTTGCTTGCGCGATCATTACCAAACATGTGCCCACTCCCTGCAAAGCGACAAATCGAACATTAAAAACCACATGTTTATGCATAATGGTTGTCGCCAATGAAGATCAGATCATTGACATGAGTCGCAACATGAGGAACACCCGACAGCAAGTCCGACGAGAAGCTGTTTGGAGCACAACTTGCGGCCGATGCCAGTCCTTTGATCAAAGCCTCAAAGCCTTGGTGCTGCAGGGCGCCTAGCTCGGTCGTCGGCCCTGATTATGTGGAAGCAAATGGCTTTGTTTCGGCCGTAATTTTCTCAAAAGTCACAAGTGCCCCTTTGCTCATCATACTGATAGCAAGGACGCTACTAGTAACAGGGGCATTACTACTAGTAGCAAGGTGCCTTGCTACTAGTGTCATCCCACCTGAAAGGCTACGCCGCAACTTGCGATGGACATGAGTGCAGTGAGCAAGTGGTTTGACTTGCGGCTAGAGCAATCTTCAAAGGGCTCCGGAGCCGCGCTGCTTTGTTACAAGGAATGCGCCTCCAATATCATCATACCGTACACATTGAGTAACGAGGTACTCAAAGTGTAGTTTCTTCACCTTTGGTAGCCGTTGACGTTGTTCAAATTCAAATGCCCTCGCTGCAGCAGCGAGGGACGTTTGGGCAGACTGGTAACTACCGCCATGGACCGATGATGAAGGATACGAGGGCGGATTTCGGATACCCAGACCATCACCGAGCAATCCTTTTGGCTACTGACTTCTGTAACGAAGTGCGCAGCATTCATGTCCTTTGTGCTCTGCTTGCATGCCTGAGTTCTGCAGTGAGGATGGCAGCTTGATCTACAAGTCTACTACTGCTGTGATTTGTTCTTGTGAACACTTTGGCAACCACTCAATCTGGGGGGCCTTTCTTGCACAGAAGTTCCACAAGCACTTAGCAGCTTAGCAGGCAATGGCAGGCAGTCTAGCCCCACACAGATGCTCATTGAAAGGGTGTTGCCCTTCCAGGGCTATGCAACTCTAGGAGGCAGCCAAGTTAATAACGGTAAAATTGAAGTTTGGAGGCCATCGCTAGTAGGTTGGAGGCCATCGCCATTAATTGATGTTTGGGCTCGTTGTTATTTTCCATTCTTTGCGTCGCTCTTTGAGAGTGCAGCCATGTCATGTGCAACCAGTAGGGTGGGGTACTTCTGACGGGAGATGCTATTTATATAGAGCATTATAGACTATAGAGCTCAAATTCCATCACGAAGGCTGCAGGCAGCCATGAGATACTGCAGGAAGGTCCAAAACCAATCAGAATAATGTTGCCGTAATCTGTCAATCATATTCGATGTGTACTTGTATACAACGTACGCCTTCCAAATTGCTTGTTTGGCCTTGGATTTTGAAAGGGCAAACGCTGGATGAAGACTGGTTGGCTGATCGTGTTTGCAAACAATCTTGTTTGCCTAACAAACACTACCAGAAGACTCTCGAATGTCTCATTTTATAGGCAGGGTTGAAGTGTCACAACTCACATGTGTTCCGTGGGCAAGGCATGTTCTCAAGTTGCCACCTTTCATTTTCCCAGCAGCGGTGCTCAATTGCACCCTCGGACCAACAAAAGGGCCAGCATCCTGAGTGACGAGGAGAGAGCATTGCACCTAGCCCAAACCCTTTGTTGGCAGGGTGCTCTATTTCTCAGAGAAATCTTTGAAGTCCACTTGAGCCTGCTGCAATTGGCAGAGCTGTTGTGATTTTCAGATGTCTTCAATTTTGACTGCGGAGTTGGTGCTTTTGACAAGTTGCTTGGAGCTCTTTTGCTACTTTGGTCTCGGTCCAGGCATGAAAGGACAAAACACAAAACACGACCATGCAAATGTTGCTTTTTGGTTCTTCTACCACTGAGAAAGCGCCTACCCTAGTGCCAGAAACTGCTGGCGTGCACAAGATTCCCAAGACGGCAGACAGCTTGCCCCGTTGTGGCACAGGATGCCAGCCGTGGAGTGCTTGGCCATGGCCTACGATTTGGTGTCAAATAGGCTTCGAGCAAACCTTTTGAAGCCAACTCCTGCACCGACAATCTGTTCAATCAACAAATACTTGTCTGAAGCGGATTCACGACACCAGGTCACTATGTTTGGTCATCACTGTGGTTGTGCGAGTGTCGGAACTGACACTTGCACTTCACACACCTCCAAAAACTGTGAGGGCGCAGAGAGATGGCAAAAACAAACTGAACATGGATGTTTGTTTGGGCCACGATGCAAGTTCAAGAGCAATTACTAACCTTAACTTATTCTTTGCGAGTTGTCGCGAAGTATTTCAAGGTCGAGTTTTTTGCACCAGTGCAACATCTTGCTGTCTTTGTTGCACCTTGTGGGTCTTGAACACGTCGTTTTATGCACTTCCAATACTGTGACTGTTGAAGCGACATTGAATTGAGACGCAGGAGACGGTGTTCCTTGCGGGCTGTTTTACATGTTTCCTTGAGGAATGCAATTGTATTTTTCAATTTTGCCAATAGCAGATGTGTGAAACGGTTGCACAGCTTGTGTGTGAGGAAGTTGGAAGCACCTTAAACTTGCAGAAGTGTTGCAGGTGAGGTTTGGGGTGCGCGACGCATGTGAACCACCTGCATGCGTGCATTGTTAATAGCCCTCCTTCTTAGCATGGTTTGACATACCATTATTCTAAAGCATCCTTCAACACTTTGTACGTTTTCCCACTCATGGTTTGTGATGTTGTTTTGTCGCAGTGCTACCAACACCCGCCAAGATTGACATGGAACCTGCAAATGGACCCTGGGAAGACGAATTTCCTCTACAACCCTGTGGTTTTCGAGTTACATATTAATCTTCCAGGACGTACCTCCTTATCCGCCTCCTTTGCTATCTACCCATTGGTATTTGCATATTTGATCATATTTGTATAGATATATTTTCACTGTTCTATACAAATATAATGATACAATAGTTGTTACATTTTATTGAGATATTACAATGTTTTGTAACATATTAGTTCGATAATTACGTATAGATATTGATATTTATGGATCGTATATCTATATAATATAAGTTACATTTTACAGTCATGTGTGATTGTGTATGATTTATCGTTTTGTTTAGATGTTCTTGTTTTGTTTGGATTAGTGGATTAGTTGAGAAGCTCAATTTTCAGATCAGATATGTAGCCTTTTCTCCGGCCGAGAACGTTATTGTGTTGCTGGCAATTGCGGTCCGTAAATCATCGAAGCCTTTTATAGCGGAAAATTGAATTGTGTCTTGCAGAGCCTTACACTTACTTCTGCTTAGGTGATTTTGTTTTTGATTTGTCGGATGCGTTCGTTTTATGTATATTAATTGGTCTATTTGATTTGTATTAGAACTTTGCGTTGGAGAACCCGGTCTTAAGTCTGGGAATATGGAGGTTCTATATTAAATAGGGCACCACGCTTGCGCGAGGATTGTTTTTTCGTCCTCGAAGAAAGGTATAAATGATATATGTTTGTAAAATTTATTTGATTTATTACGAAAGCTAGCATACTAGTTGAGTTCTTCTTTGCTTTAGCAATGTTGTGGTGGGAGGGGCTGCGTGCTTTAAAGATTCCCGCGGTTCAACTCCCAGCTGCGCCGTGTAGGGGGTTGGTTGAACGTGTGAACGTAGTTGGTTGGGTGTAACGGTGGCTTGGTGTAAAGGGTGCTGCTGCTGCTGCCGCTCTGCTGCTTGTTACTGCTGTTTGCTGCTGCCGCTGGTTGCCGCTTTTGTAGCTGCTGCTTTGCCCGTTGGTTGCCGCTTTTGTAGCTGCTGCTTTGCTACTTGTTGCGGCTTGGTGCTGCTGCTGCTGTTGCTGACGACGCCGCTGCTACTGCTGCTTGCTGCTTGTTGCTGCTGCTTGCTGCTTGTTGCCGGTGGTGCTGCTGCTGCTGCGGCTTGATGTTGCGCTGCTGCTGAGTGGTGCTGCTGGCTGGCTGCTGGTTGGTGGTTGCTGCTGGCTGCTGGCTGCAGGCGGCTGCTGCGGCTGCTGGCTGCTGCTTGCTGCATAGGACTTGTATTTCACCGTTATAAGTTGTTTACCCCTATTTCCAGCGCAAGGCATACATAAACGAGGGGTAAATTTACCCCCCCAGGCTTTCTATAACCATACACCGGCTATTTCCTCAAGACACTCTATTCTTGATACCTTTTACTAGTGTTTATCCTACACTACGGACGCCTTAGTGTATGCATAGTCCTTATGATGCTTACCCCTCGTTCCGGCTTAAGGCATATATAAGCGGGGGGTAAATTTACCCCCCAGATTTGCCATAATCATAAGCCGGCTATTTCCTCAAGACACTCTACTCCTTCTACCTTTTACCCGTGCTTATCTTACACTACGGACGCCCTAGTGTATGCACAGTCCTTGTGATGCCAGAAATGCTTACCCCTCTTTCCAGCGCAAGGCATACATAAGCGGGGGGTAAATTTACCTCCCAGATTTGCAATAACCATACACCGGCTATTTCCTCAAGATACTCTATTCCATATACCTTTTACCCGTGCTTCTCCTACACTACGGACGTCCTAGTGTATGTACAGTCCGTATGATGTTAGAAATGCTTATCCCTCTTTCCGACTCAAGGCATACAAAAGCGGAGGGTAAATTTACCCCCTAGATTTGCCGATCACGCATCTTCGTGCCTGCTAACGAGTGCACCCGGGTTGTTCTAATGTACCCTTCCCAGTTAGCGATGTCATATTTACATTCTTTAGCGCAAAGTATGTATATAGCAACCTTCTTTCCAAAATATGTCATCCCTACATGCTTTGTCGACTATGTAACTAGTATATCCGGTGCGATTCGGCTAGCTTTCGACTTCTCCCGAGATTTGGATTTCGTTTGCTTTATTAAATGCAATTTTTAAATACATAAGGATTAAAAGATTATAAATGTGTATATTTTTAATTTAATATTGGAAGTTCGAATGAGGTTGTTTTAATTGGGGGAATTAATTTATTATAATTATATATATATTAATAAAACAAATATTTAATATTATTTACATTGATTTTTATATTATAAATATAAAATAAAATGGACTTTACGATCGAAAATTTATATATATTTAAATGATATTTTTATACGACACTTTTGTGGGATATTTTTCTGGAATATTTTTATAGGATATTTTTATGGATATTTTTTACGGGACGTTTTTGTAAAACACTTTTGTGGAATATTTTTGTAGGAAATTCTTATGGAATATTTTTCTAATTTCCTAGATATTTTATATATTAAAATTGTATTACAAGATTGTTAGTATTTGGTTTCTGTTTTATAGATTGCTCCGCGTACTAATATTATATTATGAAATCGTTGATTTTTAATTTTTAGCTCCATAAATTGCTTCGTATTTTAAATATATTTTATTAAATTACCGATTTTTATTTTTTAGTTCCTTAGATGTTCCGCATACTAAAGTCGCTAGGATTCGCCTGCATTTCGCGTGTTCGACACGTGCTATCTCCGCAGAGGCTTGCGCTGGTACCGGACAAATCGCATTCTCGCCTGCGCTTCGCGCA